TGGCCTTTTTTACTCAAGTCCATATCTGATGTGAGTCATATACTTCCACAGCTTTATAGAATGATTAAGATCCAACTAGGGCTCACATCAAAGATTTTCGCACTGCTACTGCTAAAACTTTTTAATTGAATACTCTTATCCTTTTTCCACCAAGAAGAGATTGTCCATGAGTCTTCTTGTCTACAATTCACAAAAAAATATAGTAAAAAGAAAAAATAGTTACTTACCTACTACTACCCAAGCATTTTTATTCCAAAACAATGTGCCTAAACAGTAGTAAGGGAAAGTCGTTCTTACTACCTCCTACCTTATTAATCACTTACAATCCACAGCGTTGGAATTTAAAAGTTCCATGGAAGAACTTTTGATATTTTATTTGGAGGTCAATGTCATAAACCATCTTATCCTTAGAATTTGGATGTGTCGTCTTTGTGCATATACATCAACATTAACAAGAGAAACTTGACCCAAGATCCTTAAATGTGTGCTTGTGGGATACTCCTCTTCTCAAAAAGAATATAGATGTTACCATCCGTCAATTAAAAAATTCTATGTATATGTGGATATTACATTTGTAGAAACTGAATCTTACTTCAGCCATTCTTATCTCTAGGAGGAGCCAGTATCAAAAGATAAAGACTTGTTCTTTTTTTACCTTACCTTACCCTCGAAATCACCAGCAAGTAACCTCCTCAATTACCTTAGAACCCAGAAAATGACTCCACTCTATTACTTCAAGACCCAGAAAATGACGCAGCACCAGCAACCATACATGGCCCTAGATTTTCTCAATTGTACTCACATAAGGAAGAATTTGGATCCTGAAGTGAAGCAGGTTCCAGCATTAAAATCAACCCTCAAAATGAAGTAACCTCTGAATTCCTTTGTGGTTCAACAAAATTGATTGATTTTGATGAATAACTCAAAACTTATTTTTGTACTATGCCATATCCATGAAAGCTTCTTCTCTCTTCTTAAAAGGGCAAGGGCCATACTAAATAAAGCATATATCAGACTTTTCTACTTAATAACGGTAATCACAGGCAGAAAATGACTATATCTGTCATAACCACTTAGCAGCAAAGTAGAAAAAATGGAGCTCAAACAATGAAAGCTAGAGAACCGGCATTCAGGCCACTAATACCACCAGAATGCAAAGTTCAAGATCAAAGATATAAACTTACCCAATGAGATTGCAACTATGCCTCTCATTTGATATTGGGATGTATAGAGATAATCCAACATATCCTTCTCATCCTCATCAGATAAATCTTTCTTTGCTTTGAGCAAACATATGTGTTCCACCACTTTCCTGTGCAAAATAATAATGTGTCAATATGAAAGAACGAAGCAAATCTAATGGCAAGTGCTCAACCAAGAGGAACTAAGGGTAAAGGCATGTACGATTCCATACAATCCAAGAGAGGACCAATTCCCACATTTTTTTACCCACTAGAAAAAGTCCACTGAGAAATGGAAGGGACTCGTATGGGTGGAAAGACTACAAAGATGAATATGTTCAAGTTCAAATGTAAGTTGTAATGAAGAATTTTTCCACAATCTGTAATAAACAATTACTTACTCTTTCTTTATTACTTTCCACCCAAAATAATCTAATTTTCTGAAGGAAACAATCTAATATTCTTGTTTGACCTCTTCTCTGATTCATGCAAATACAAAACAAAAGTGTATGCAGTACATTCACAATCCAGTCAACTTTAAGCATATTGATGTAGCATGCCCCCCTGGCCCAAAAAAAAAAGGAAAAGAAATCTGCCTTTGTTCGTGTGCGAAAATGATGCTAAGGTTAAGTTCATTGAAACTAACAAGAGCATGGTATGCAGTAAGTCACAACTGAAAAAAATGCCAAATCTAGACATCTAATGATTCCAGAAGCATTGTTGCTTTGATAAGAACTTCTGGATCACAAAATTCACTTACTATTTAACAAATCTAGAGCAACCATTATCACTATGCAACAAATTCACCATCATTTGGCAATATGGAAATTTAAAGTTAGAAATCTCCAACCAATGACCAAATGGAGAGTAGCCATCATCAATTTGCAAAAAGGATCATCACCTGGCAATATCAGATTAAAGCTTTTATTTGAAAACAAAATTTCAGGTTAAAGCTTAACATGTCCAAGCAATCATTTGCAGAAGCAGATTTGTCCTCTATTTTCAGTTTGTTTACTTTGCTACTCAACATCAGAAGTAAACTACATATTAACAAAATATAAGAAAAAACTATCATCAACTCGGTGTGTAATTCTAAATATGAAGTACTTTTGTCAGAACCGACAACATACAAGTCTAATGAAGAAAATAATAGCAGCCAGTAGCATTTGGAAATGCAAGCGTTCTCATTGGAACATACTACGGAGCCTTAAAAGTGAAAACTACCAATGAGCATGAGAACAAAAACCCTTCAAGAATTCACTAAAATCAATAAATATCATCCTAACACCTGAGAAGTGAAGTTAGCAATCACATTCAATGTTAAAAGACTACATATTACGCATTGTCCAAATGAAATTCAAGAAGTTTCAAGAAAAAACTTCCAGAACTATTCCCCTTTCTCCGCATATAAAAAGAAATTGAGAAAGAACGTAATATTTATAAACGAACCTCTTCTTCTCCATGTTAAAATTTGAGCTGCGCTCTTTAGAAGCCGAAAATGTTATTAAACGGTTCCTCCGACGCCATGGAAGCATCCGCAGAGCCACACTTGATCCTGAAACCACTGTTTCAAGAAAGGACAAATTACCTTCGAGACATTATCCTTTGCATTACTTACAGAACTCGACTAGAGAGGAAGTACAGAGAAGACCATAATATATATCTCATATGTGCATCATTAAGGACTTCCAATGAGAACAGCGGATTGATTTCACCTACATACATTTTCTTAGCCGTCAAACAAATTTGAAGTTATAAAATGGACATACCGTTTAGAGGAGCAGAAATCGAAACTGTAGGGTCTGGGTAGGTAAACTGTGAAGGAGAGTTAGGAAAGAGAAGCATAGTTCTGTACATGCAAAACAATGAAGGCATCAGTTTTCTTATCTCTTCTGTAGATTCAGGGGTCTCAAAACCAGGCGAATGAATGAAAGGAAGAAGGGTTGGAGTGGCCGTACTGTAAATTGATAGGACTGGGAATTTCTTGACCATACTTTTGTGTTTTCCTTTTCTGGAAATTTTATAATTTTATAATTAAATTTATAGTCTTAAAATAATAATTTAGGTTTTAAAAAAATATATATTAATTAAATTTAATTTAAATAATAATATATATCACGCAATAGTCATATGTTTTTATATATAATATAAGCTAATGACATAACAAAAAATTCTATTTGAAAAAAATACTAAAAGAATTTAGTTTTTAAGGCATGTAGTAAACATGTAAGAATGTTGCTTATTATGTTATTATTGTTAAAGATGTAAAATAATAAAATGAGTAACTTATTATTTTTCGAAAACTTTGAATCTAATTATAATTATAAAAAAATATTTGTCTAATTTATCATTTTATATGTTGTTAGTCATTAATTTTTAGAATATTTCATTAACTTTTAAATATTAAATTATTTTTGTTTAAATTTAGTTTTTCTTCTGTTAAGATAATTTATTAAACTTAGTAAATAGTATTATGTAGTACCGTGTTAGTTTTATTTTCATAACATAATAAACGCATAATAACTATACTTTTTAATATTAGATTTAATTCAAATCAAACAGATCTAAAAAATAATAATTGTACTCATATTGAATCAAAATTATTCCATTTTGTAATCGGAAGCATATTTGAATTTATAGTGAAAATCTTCGTGTAGTACGATAGATCTTCCAAATTAACACGCGGCTGTAAAAACTAGTTTTCTCTGCTAATGGGATAATGGAAAAAAATTAAGCGCATATGTGATTTAAGGACCATAAACGCCTTTTATATTGTCGACTTTTATCATTTCTCATTTTATCCATTATAAAATGAAAAATTATAAATATGGTATCTGCACATATTATAAGCTCATACTTAACCCTGATGCATTAAGCTTCATAACTATTTAATAGTAACTGATCACCTTTAAATGGTCTCAATAAATTGGTAGTCTGTTACGCACACCAATGCTCATATTGACCCCATTTGTTGATAAAAAAATCAATAATCTTCCACTTGAACTTTATGTGTCATTTTAATCTATGCGTTAAACAATTGTAGGAGTACTCAGAACCTTATTATCAATACATGAATGCATTATTAAATAATCTCGTCTATCGATCCTAACGACATAGGATCCAAAGCGGTATTTGCTACAACTATTATAGCTAAACTCATC